GCCCGGCGTGTGCTCCAGATCGACAGGCGCGCCGTCAAGGAGCTGCCTTAGTTCGCTTGTATCCCCCTGCACTCCAAACCCCGCAACATGCACGGCAGTTGACAAGGGGCCCAGCAGCTCTCGGGGCCCATGCAAGAGCTATCGTAGCCCTGAGTGTCTGCGCCGCATCCTGGAGAAGGGAGGCGAGGTCGCCCACGAAGGCGGGGCAGCTGTCTCTGGTGAGTTCGGAGATGGCCGCAATGATGGGGTCGTAGAAGATGCACCATAGCGGAGACGCAATCCCTCCCATGCCTACTGAGCGCATCAGCTTGCGTTTGGGGCCGCGACGTCTCCCTTCGCTCATTTGCGCGCTGCGGTCGGCAAACAGGGCAGCGAGAGCGCGACGCATTCATGCGGGGGGGCCCCACCGTTGGAGAAACTTGCCGATCCATTGCGTGGAGAGGCGCTCGAAGGCTTTGCTTTGGTCGCAGAAAATGGCTGCTGTGCCCGGTGCGGATGTGAGTTCCGCCGTGCATTCCTGCACGTATCCCTCCCTCTGTTGCCGCGCGGTGCCTGCCGAGCCGAGCATTCTATCCCGGGCGTCGCGTGGTGGGGGCACCGGGCGCGGGTCTCGACCGAGATGCTCTGCGGCTGCTCTGATGTTCGGCCAACGTTGCCCGCCTTTTTTTTGGCCGCCTGATCCTAGGAGAGCAGCGGCTCAACCTGGGGCCCAAGCAGGTCGGCTAAAGTGGCGCCATAGAGTCGCCGAAGGCAGGTGGGTAACTGCAGCAGTCGCATGTCACTCGGTAATTCAGCACCCGGATTCTTCCCGACCCACACAAGAAGGTCCACCGATGGGACCAAGCACGGCGGCAAGTTCGCGTGGGCTCTGGTCAGCGACGCACCGCGTTTGCGCAATCAGGCAGGCAACGAATCGCGCGCCTGCGCGGTAAACTTCACGGGGTTCTCCGCCCACGCCCGGCGCGCTGCGCGTCGGAGCTAGCGCCGGCGAAGCAAGCCGCCCCAATCTAGGGGCTGGCACGCGGCCAAGGACAATAGACTTCCCGCCACTGAAGTAGCTGTCGAGAAGATCACGGGCGCAGGGTGGAAGGCCTGGGGTTCTCATCCAGAAGGGATGATCAGAGATCAGGATCTGGTCAACTTCGACAAGCTTCTCGGCCCACTTGCCGCCGCTGTCCCGGACGCCGGCACCCTTGTGCAGCTTCGGGAAAATTGTTCTGGCAGTCTTGAAATGGGCTGCGAGAGACTGTCGCTCGGCACCTGGTACCCGTGCGGACGGTGCGAAGGGCGCTGGCGCGTTTCTGATCCATCTCGAGGTCCCATCTTCGGAGCCACAACCAATCGGCTAGGGGGCCGACAGGTTGCAGTGCACCAGCGTCGCGAGCAGCTTGAGCGAGCAGTGCTCCCAGGCTGGTCTGTTTACCGCCGCTGCTGCAGGCCCGACGAGAGCATGCATCTCCCCGGCATCACCAGAGCAAGCGGATGAGGCGGGGTGACGTCCTCTCGCTGTGGCTGTTGCGGCAGATGTCGCTGGGCGTCTGCTTCTTCGTCGCCGCCGCCCTGGGGATCGCGTCGGCCTGGCAGTAAGCCCGCAGCCGCAGGTCGCGTCCACTCAATGGGTTGTATCAAAAAAGTGAGGTCGACCTCCGGAATGGCAAAAAAGTTTTGTCGAGGTAAGTGTTCAAACACGGTAGCTCGGCGTGTGCCTCGGCGGGGAGCCCTCGGAACTCTGCAGGCGTGAGTGCGTGGTCGCGTCTGGCAGGCTGGCTGCCATCGGGATCGAGATGCGCGATGGCATGTTCCGACAGACAAGGCTTCCATGCGTCTCGTCTGATAGGCCGCCAGTGACACTGTGGGGCATGCCATGAAGTCGATGGCGGAATCGCTGTCGCGGTCGGCGCGAGCGGGCCCGTCTGTGCGCACGATGCTTGAGTTGGTGGAAGCAATGAGATCCCGATATTAGCCGCGCCCTCAAACACCTTTCGCGCGGGTCCTCGCAGTGCAGATTGACGTCTCCTCCTCAGACGGTTGGGACATCATCGAGCGTTTCAAGTGCCACGTGGGCCCCTTGTATGGCTTCAGTCTTGAGTGACGGTGGTAGATAAATGCTGATGAGCCTGACACGCGTTCCTTGCGCGCCGACGTCGGCCCATACAGGGCATCCTGGGACAAGTGTGCCAGAGGCAAGCAGCGGCATCCCATGGGGTATCAGGACGGCTGCCCCACCTGCGAGGCCACCTCCTGGTCCCCTGAACGCCGCTGTGGAGACAAAAGTACGTGCTGGAAAGAGGCTGGCCCAGACTTCGCTCTCGTGTTCAGACCAGTATCTCTCTTGTAGAAGGCAGGCGCGTTCCCTGGTGGGGACTTGAGTCGGGGAGGCACGTTTGATGTGGTTCTTGTGTGCTGTAGTGCTGCGTGGGTATCGAACGCTCCAGCATGCTAGGCGTGGTTGCCCGGTGTCACGAGCTCTTTGGAGGCCTGCGATACGGTCGTCGAATGCGAAATCGGCGTCAAAGGGCGCCCGGCGAGCGCACCGGGGCAGCATGGTGAGCCAGGAGGTGAGTAGAGAGAGAGAGAGAGAGAGAGAGAGAGAGAGAGAGAAAAAAAAAGAGAGAGAGAGAGAGAGAGAGAGAAAGAGAGAGAGAGAGAGAGAGATCGCGCCGCAATTTTCCAAGCGCGACTGCGGGCAGCCGGCGCGAATGCTGCCCCGTCGGGGGACCCCAGAGCCTCTCGTAGCGAGAGGGGGGGGGGCCCAGACTGTTTAGGGGAGGATCTCCGTCGGCGGGTAAAGAAGTGGAATGATGTCCCTGGCCTCGAAGAAGAGTCGCACATCATCTGGAAAGGGTGATCTAGCAAGCAAATCAAACCTGCTGTGCTGTTTGGCGAATGCGACGGCTCGGTCGAAGCCAGCCTGGATGTCAAATGCGCACGGTGTTCGGTGATCTCCGTAGACTCCGGGCTCACCTGCAAGGCATACGTCCCGCAGGAGCCCAACGATCCTTTGTTGCAGGGATCGAAAGTCAAAGTGATGGCCCACGGCGTCGTACAGATCTCGGCTGGCTAGCCCCATCGCGTGGTAGTAGTCCAGCATCCCGGTGACACGTGCGCGTTCTTCGGGAGTTGGTACTCTGAACCCGTGTTTCCAAACGTCCTGCATAAGCCATCGCCCCCAGGATCTTACTTGCTCCTCTTCCTGTTGTCTATATCTCTCCTTCCCGCTGAGAACGTGTTTCAGGCCTTATTCGCATCCCATGTGCGTGGCGCTGGCACTGGTCTCTCGCAGGAGGGGTTGCACCCTTTTGCTCACTTCGGTGAGCCGGATGCAAAGCCATGGATGGCTGCAGTTGGAGTGATGGAGCAAGTGCTTGGGATGCAACTGAAAGCACCTTGGTAGCACTTCGTTGGGGTCCCCACGAGAACTGGTCCATGTCGGAACTGCACCTTCAAAGTGGAAGGCCCACTCGTTATCCCAAGGGGAGGGAAGCCTTGGGAAGTGCAGGTCGAAGTCGGACCTAGGGAAGGCGACAAACCGTAGCCTGTCTCTCGGGCCCGAAATGGGGGGACCTAGATAGAGGACCCTCCCCACGTGATCGATGGCATCTAAGATGGCCGCACGAGGCCTTCGAGGGCTGCCAAGAGAGCCCCGAGAGAGCCCGAAGAGGGCCCAGGAGGGCCCTAAGACCATCCAAAAGAGTTTAATCCCTGTTCCCGTCAGCTCTCATGGGCAGGGTTTCTGAAAGGGCTGATGGGGATACTTTTTTGGTCGGTGGCTCCCAGGCGAAGGTCAAGGAGCGGGGCTACGTTCGGGGCGCGGAACGAAGATAATTGGCCGCAATGGCGCATGCACATGCAAGGGACAAAATGACCCACATTAGACGCCAGGAGACCGGCACAGACATCGGGTGGGGACGCCACGGCGCGGCGACCGGCGGCGGGACGGCGGAGAGAAGTCGCCCTTTCGGCGCCAAGCTCCAGCCAAACCACAAGCTGATGGGGAGACGCGAAGCGTGAAAAATTAGCCCCCCTTCGAATCTCCCCTTCTCGTCCGACCTGATCTGGGTGATCTGGGGATTGTTACTCCCTGGGCATCTCCTGGGTCGCGCCCTGACCCAGGAATTCAAAGCGAATCCAGCCGTGGCGACAAGGCTGTAAATCCTTCGCCGTCTTTCGATTGCCCTGGGACCCGAAAAGGACCCCAGGAATTCCAAAACGCTGCGGAAAACATCAGTTAGGAGCTGTCTTCATCAGAAATTGTTTGTTCCATGGCGACTTCTGATGGGGAGCGATAGGGGGGACTGGTTCAGGCGGGGGGGCATCAAGCTTGAATCGGCGATACATCGCCGATTGAGCGGCGATGAGCGCCACACATCGAATCTCACACGTTCCTGGGCGGGGTGGGCTATCGGGCCCCTATCGGGGATCAATGGGCGATTGGAGGTCGATGCATTCCCCCCTGAGGCTATCCGCCCCAATGATCCTCGTCGTTCTGTTCTACCTCTCAGGACATAAATCAGGCCTCCAGCGGCAATTCAGGAAATTCAGGACGATTCCAGCACCCTCAGAACGCCATCGAGGAGGCGCAGCTGATGGAAACCAGCCCAGGCTTCGAAAACTTTCGAATAATGGTCTGGACCCCGTCGCGCGGACAGTATTTCATCCTGGGAAGTTGCTGTTTACGGTTCCAGGGCCAAGTGAGCGCCCCCAAAGGCCGAAAATTTGCAAAAGCCATCCGTCGTTACTTTTCACGACGCGAGGGGCTCTGGGATCGTTGCTCGCAGGCGTTCAGTCCATAACTCGGCTCCTGCGACCGTCTGGGACGATCTGGGCACCTCAGGACGCCTCTTGGCGAAACGCAGCTGCTGAAGAGCATCCGAGGCTAAAGAAACGCTGAGAACCGGCGAAAACGCCAGAAAACCGCGAAAAAACTAGAGCCCTCTGTTTCCGCTGGCATTGCCTCTGAACTTCCTCTGCGCCCCCGGGGGCCCGTCTGCCGGCCCGGCTCTGCGGCGACGCGTAGTGCGCCGGCAGATGCTCCAGCAGGCCCCGCTGCTCGGCAAAATCCCGCAGCAGCGCCTTGTTGCCCAGCCTCACGACCACCGCAGCCTTTTGTTGTGGAACGGTCAGAGGAGAGCTGTGACCACTGCCACCGAGAACGCAGCGGAGGGGGGAGGGGGGGGGCCGAGCCCTGGGCGGTTGCACGCCTGAGCGTCAAACAGTAAAGGACGACGCTCAGGCGTGCCACCTCCCGGGGGTCTGTCACCCACCCATGGGTTCTCGGTGGCGGTGGTCATGCTCCCCCTGTGAGATGGGCTGAGCCATTGCTTTTCCTACTCCTATGTGTACGCTAGCCCAAACAGCATGACACTTGTTCTAAGCATTCCCAATCGCCACGCGAATCGTGACGTTACTGCCCCCCCCCGTAACGCCCGTTATCGCCAGAGAAAACATGTTTCTTAACGATCCGGACTTTCCTGGCACCTCCTGACGCCCCGAGAGGCGTCAGGAGCGTCAGAGCGTCAACGCTTGTTTCAGACGCGCGCTCCGCCACCACTCCTCCTGCCACCACTCCCAATGGAGAAGGCGAGGGATAGAGAGAGGGCGCAAATCCGCCAAACCGGCGTGTGAGTTTGAGATGTCTAAGCTGAAGCTCTGCTTCAGCATGAGCTTTAGCTCTGCTTGGGAGGGGGGAGGGGGGGGGACGTAATTAACTGACGCATTCAGTGCTCGGCACCCCCCCCCCCCTGCCAGCCCCCAGGAGAGAGGGGGAGGGGGACAGGAGCGAGGGGGGGGGAGGGGGGGGGGACAGGAGAGAGGGGGGGGGGAAAGGAGAGAGGGGGGGGGGGGACAGGAGAGAGGGGGGGGGACAGGGAGAGAGGGGAGGGGAGGGACGTCTTGATGGTTTGGTGGTGGGCCAGGTGCGTACGTGCGTGATGGCGGTGGTGGTGGTGGCGGTGGTGGTGTGTGTGTGTGTGTTGTGTGGTGCGTGTGCGTGTGCGTGTGCGTGTGCGTGTGCGTGTGCGTGTGTGCGTGTGCGTGCGTTGTGCGTGTGCGTGTGCGTGTGCGTGTGCGTGTGCGTGTGTGCGTGTGTGCGTGTGTGGTGTGTGCGTGTGTGCGTGTGTGCGTGTGTGCGTGTGTGAGTGTGTGTGTGTGTGTGTGTGCGTGCGTGCGTGCGTGTGTGTGTGTGTGTGTGTGTGTGCGTGTGTATGTGAATGTGTGTGTGTGCGTGCGTGTGTGTCTGTGTGTGCGCGCGTGTGATGTGTGTATGACGCGGTGTAGCGTGGTGGTGGTGGGTGGGGTAGTGCGGTGGTGGTGGCGGGCCGGTGGTGGTGCGCGTGCGTGCGTGCGTGCGTTGGTGGGTGGAAGTGGCGGTGGGTGTGCGTGCGGCGGGGCGGGTCGTGGTGCGGCGCGGTGGTGGCGGGCGGATGGGCGCGCGAGAAAGAGGCCCGCGCTGGGGCGAGAACGCCATCCTGAACGACGGAGGCAAAACACCGATCCGAAAATGAGGCCCACGCTGCAGCGGGAGCACGATTCGGAACGATTCTGGAGCAGAAATGAAGACGGCGCTTCAGCGAGAGCAACATTTTGAAAAAAACACACAAGCGAAAACCCGCTTCCCGGGAATCCTGTGTAAAAAAACAGTACGCGGGGGGGGTCGAGTATTCACAGGACGCCATCAGGGGAAGAGGGAGAGTAGCATTCATATTGAATAATTGTAGAGGGGTGGGGGGGAGGAGAGAGGGGGGGTGGGGGGGAAGGAACAACAGGAGAGAGGGGGGGGGAGAGGAGAGAGGGGGGGGGACAGGAGAGACGGGGAGGGTGACCATGAGAGGGGGGGGGACAGGAGAGAGGGGGAGGGGGAGAGGGGGGGGTGGCAAGCTAGGTGCGCTCGCGTCATATCTGACGTCCTACCCCTCCCTCCCATCCTTTACCATGGCGCTGATTTTCTCTATCCGCGGACGCGTGTCGTAGCGGACTTGTGGCTCCGCGCGCGCGTGCGTAGTGGGTGTTGGTGCGCGTGCGTGCGTGCGTGCGTGCGTGCGTGCGTGCGTGCGTGTGTGGTTGTGGTGGTGGTGGTGGTGGTGGTGGTGGTGGTGGTGGTGGTGGTGGTGGTGGTGGTCGTGGTGGTGGTGCTGATGGTGGTGCTGGTGGTGGTGGTGGTGGTGCTGGTGGTGGTTGTGGTGGTGGTTTTTGTGGTGGTGGTGGTGGTGGTGGTGGTGGTGGTGGTGGTGGTGGTGGTGCGGCGCGGTGGTGGCGGGCGGATGGGCGCGCGAGAAAGAGGCCCGCGCTGGGGCGAGAACGCCATCCTGAACGACGGAGGCAAAACACCGATCCGAAAATGAGGCCCACGCTGCAGCGGGAGCACGATTCGGAACGATTCGGGAGCAGAAATGAGGCCGGCGCCTCAGCGAGAGCAGCATTTTGAAAAAAAAACACAAGCGAAAACCCGTTTCCCGGGAATCCTGTGCAAAAAAACAATACGCGGGGGGTGTGGATATCTTCGGGACGCCATCAGGGGAAGTGGGAGAGTATTTTCATATTGTGTAATTGTACAGGAGAGAGGGGGGGGGACAGGAGAGAGGGGGGGGGGAAGGAGAGAGGGGGGGGGGGACAGGAGAGAGGGGGGCGGGAACAGGAAAGAGCAAGGGGGGTGGGGGGGGCCGGGATCATCACCATCTCCATCATCACCACCATCGTCATCATCATCATCATCATCATCATCATCATCATCATCATCATCATCATCATCATCATCATCATCATCATCATCATCATCATCATCATCATCATCATCATCATCATCATCATCATCAGATCATCATCATCATCATCATCATCATCATCATCATCATCATCATCATCATCATCATCATCATCATCATCATCGTCATCATCATCATCATCATCATCATCATCATCATCATCATCATCATCATCATCATCATCATCCGGAGCGCCCGGGATCGGCGGCACTGGCCGGAGGCCACTATAATCATCCTCACCCCAGAGCGAGACCCTTCACCGCCCCCGACCGCTATGACCTCCACGCCCGCCACTGTTTCTCCCAGGAGGACTTGGGGGCGAACGGTGAACGGAGGGCAGAGGGAGGAGCAGCACCCTGAACAAGCAGTTGCCAACTTCTCTCCCGCTCCACCCAGTCCAGACCCTGGACAGAGAGAGGCACGGGGAGAAGCAAGAAGGAACACGTCCTCACTGCGCAGATCCATGTGCTCTCCTCTCCCTCATCCACCCCTGCGAGGGGAAGTATGGAAGGGAGGTGGAGGCCAGAAGTGGCGGGGTACAGCAGGGACAGACTACGTACAGAGGACGCCCGAGACGACACGAGTCTCTTCCTACGACAACCTGTGCCCCAAGCATGAAATAAGACATGAACCGCAATTGGCAGGACCAAGGGCGCCACACATTTGCAAGACAGACCTACTCATCGGACCCGAATGCAACCAGTGGAGGAACACAAAGCGGCATAAACCTTAACTTTCGGAGGTCCGTGCGGAGTTCTTGGATATACGCCGAACCCCCTTCCTGTCGCGCGGAGCGCGCTGGGGACAGCGGCGGAGGCGCAGACAGCGACAGCCCATGCCCGATCCAAGAAATCCGCGCGGATCTCCGAATGCTTATGTGTATACTGTATACATGTAGTTCTCCCTCGAATTCATTACGTCCATTGTCCGTGGGCCTCGCTACTGAGCAGCCTCCAGCCCAGCTTCCTCAGGCGGTCCTGCTGCTGGGCTATCTGGACTGCCACCTCACGTGCGGGTACGGCCGTCATTGTCGCCATCACCATCCTCATCATCGTCATGGTCGCCATCATAACTGGCAGCCGCATAAACATCGTAATCCTAAGACTAAGATCAATGATAAAATAGTAATAACAACAATTGCAATACTAATAGTACTGATAATAATGAAACTAAAACATAAAAATAGCGTTACTAAACATAAATTGTGAACAATACTGATAGTAAGCATCATCATCACCATCACCAACATCATCATCGTCATCATCATCATCAGCAGCATCATCCTCATCGGCAACAGCATCAGCAGCATCATGATTATCAGCAACATCTGCATCAACATCAGCATCAGCAGCAGCAACATCAGCATCACCATAAACATCACCATCATCATGACCACCACCACCATTATCTCATCAAGATCATCGTCATCATCATCGGCAACATCAGCATCATCATCGCCGTCACCATCAGCATCATCATACGCATCCTCAACATCAGCATCATCGTCAGCATCAGCAGCATAATCATGACTGGTCACATCATCGTCATCACCATCCTAATCGGCATCAACACCAGCATCATCGTCCACAGTACCGTCTTCCTCAACAATCGGATCGTCATCGTCAACCCAACCATCATCGTCACCGTCGCCGTCTCCATCGACGTCGCCGTCGTCGCCGTCGTCCTCACTGTCGTTGTCTGCGGCAATATGGGGCCAATTCCCTAGGGGCGTGTCGCCGCCAATGGGGAGCGGTCGCGGCTCGTGCGATACGTGCCCAGGGGAAGGCGGAGGGGGCGGATCTTCCCATGAGGCTCCAGGGTTCCTTGGCCTGCCGAGAAGCCTTCTGATCCTTTTCTGAAGACACGGACGGCTTCTTAGAAGGCTAGATTGGGCATCCGAATTATCCCGGTTGTCCAGGAAGGGCCCTGTTTGGCGTCCCAAATGGCGATCCGAGGACACCCTGAACCCGCTGAATCTGGAATTACTCCTGCTTGATGAGAATACTGGACAATATCGGCATGGGCCAAAATGTTATCTGCGAGAACTAGAATTGGCTGCAATCTGGGGCAACTCCGGTGCGAATACTGGAGGCCCGGAATCAGGAAGTATCCCTGACCGCCCCCTGCCTTGAAAAATTGGGGTCTCTGAGCCAGAGGGCTTCCGACCCCTCGGCGGGCGAGCGCGGACGATGCCCAGGGTGTCCCCAGGATTCTCAAGGAGGCCCCCACGGCCTACAGAGCACCCCTCACAGGGCCCACACGGCTCCAGGGGCTCCAGGGTGGCGCGAAAAGCTGGGGACACGTTTGGCCAGGAGCAGCTCCAACGCCCCCCGGCTTGGGAGGCTGCAGGCGTCGCTGGAGGCTGGACTTGGCGGGCCTCTCTCAAGAGGACGGCGCATCGAGAGCAGCAAGCGCAGCCGATCCTCCGAGGGGGGAGGAAGGAAGGAGACTTGCTCATGGGGGAATATTTGGAGATAGAATCGGCGATACATCGCCATCAGATCAGCGATGGGCCATCGGTAGCGAAACGGCCAGTTCCTGGGCGGGTTGGGGTATCAGGCGCCTCTATCGGCGATGCACGGGCGGTTGGGGGTCGATGAAGTTCTCCCTGAGACTATCCCACCCAACCGTTTCCCTTGATACTTGCTGCTTACCTTGCCAGGCGCGCTGGTGCGACGAACTCTGAGGCGAACTTTTGCCACCGACGAGCTGGCAACCACGGATTACCAGGTCCTGCGCTCTATAATATGATTCATGATTTGCAGGGAACCCTTGCGTCAGACAAGCCAGCGGCCAAAACTTACCAGGCCCTGAGCTGTTCTTTTACCGTAGACCATGTCGAGTTCGACCCATCAATGGTGACGTGGAGCTGTTGGGGAAACCCGAGACGCTCAGCGAGCCAAGATAAATGCACGCACGACTGAGTGCAGATTGTGCAACGGAGCACTCGGGGTTACAAAGCACGGAGGCCCTGTGGAGGTAGCCCCAACACCCTAATGTCCGCCCACACTTGCTCCCCATAGCTTTGCCTCTTGCCGTAGCTGGCTAGGCCATTGGAACAGAGCGGCTTGCCTATTGCGGCAAACTCCCCTGGAGGCGCGAAGGCAGTCCTTCGCTATTCTCCCCAGTGGGTCACCATCGTCGTCGGGGAACGCAACACACCAGGTCTACCCGAAATGGGACGAAGACTTCTCAGCCCGCTACTGGCCGCCTGCGGTGCTCGTGATCCGCGACCCCCGCGCGCGCGCGGAGGCGAGTGGACCTCGTCGCTGGCGGGTAGCAGCCAGCAGTCGCCAGGCGCCTCCGGAACCCACTCGTCCCCGGTCCTCTTCAGAACGTTCCTCGCGCCGCAGCCCAGCTCCTTCAGCGGCTCGTCCCAGCCGAGGCGAGGCCGGCTGAGGGCCACATGGGATAGCCAAGGTGGAGGCCCCCGAAGTCGGGGCAGGTACGTCAGGTTCGTGTCGTGACGACCCCAGCGTTGGCTTCTGACACCGTGTGGATCGTTCGACCTTGGACGCTCGGCGGCTTCTCGATCGCCAGCTGGCTCCAGATTGGCCGATTCTGGGCCACCGGTGGCGTTCAACCTTGGACGCCCGCTCTGGGGTCGCTGACGCGTCGGCACGACACGAACATACCGTAGGCGGCGTCGGAGGACGGGGCCGCATCGCCGATGCATCGGCGATGAGCCCGATGTCGTAGCCAAGGCCGTAGCCCCCTGAAGGGATGGGACCGGAGGACCGCGCCGCATGGCCGATGTGTAGGCTTCGCCTGGATGGGACTGAGGACGGGAGGGGGTCATGCGGAATCTTCGGGGGCCTTGCCTGGCCCATCGTGCCAGCGTCCTCGTCGAACCCATGCCGCATGCGGAAAATACACCGCTTGTGCGACGGACGAGGGCCCCTTCCGAAGACTCAACTCAAGATGGTGCCGCGTGGACTGAGGGAGGTCCTGAAAAACAGGAAGGGGGCGTAACACCTCCCTCGTGTTGCAGGTCCTCCCCCTGGAATGGCGCTAGAGGCCCTTCATCGGGGCTATCCCTGGACCATCAGCTGGACGACATTCGTGGTACCAGGTGGAAGCGCGCCCTCTGCTCAGGGTCGGACAGCCCCAAGACAGGTCCCCGTCCCACCCCCTGAGCGAAATGAGCGGGGAAGCGGGGCTGGACGACTGGAGGAGGGAGGGAGGGAGGAAGGAGGGGGAAGGAGGCTGTAGGTTGGTGTTGTGAGGGAGTGCGAGGTAAATGTCGAGTCCAAAGGAGGAGGACACCGAAGGCAAGCGGTGTACCACTTAGCAGAAACATGGGAACACGCGCTCTCGTGGCCCACCAATCCCCCATGGCACCACCACCCAGCGGAACAGGGAAGCGAACCCAAATCCCCACTCCTGTCACAAGCCCCCGCGCGGACGCGCCGCGGCCGAGCGCGGCGGCCAAACCCCCGGATGCAGGGGGAGGGGTTTTCCGGGAAGCCTCTGGGGCCCTACCGCGAGGCCCCGGAGGAGGGGAGGGAGAGTCCATCGATCTCGGCCTTCGGCCCCCGAAGAAGGATACAGGCAGGGGGGGCGAGGAGACGAGAAGAGCCCAGGTAAAAAGGGAGTGGGAGGGGAGAGGAGAGGATCATTACCGCATGACTTGCAAAGTCCTCAAGGCGCTGAGTTGGGTAGTCACTGAACGGTTCCAGGGGCGTTATCGAACACACGTGATAGACGTTACCACGTGACGTATATAGCAAAACATGAGGCAATGCAATATTGTTAGATCTGACAATTGTCTTGACCGTCGGGATTGGGACACGAGGGGGAGGGGAAGGAGAAACAGGTCGGCGCCAGGCAAACCATCCTTGTCGAAAACCACTGCCCAATGGCGGCGGGGTTTCCAGCATGATGCCTGGTGGGCCTGAACACAACAGGCACTATGCCAGCCCCCCGCTCGTCCCTGTCAAAAAAACAGCGAAATAAAAAGATCGCGGTCTGTCTCGTATGTTCCAAAGCTTCCCGCGAAATGCAGATTGCAGTGTATGTTACTAGGACGGTGGCCGTGCGCACAAAAAGCCATATACGGGTGTTCCCTTCGCTATTTGTACACAGTAAGCATGTGAGCCAGCCTGGACCCAAAACAGCGCTTCTTGTAGCCAATACTGCGCCATGTACGTGGGACACTGGATGTGGTTCGGTATACGTGATGCAATAGAGTCGGTGCAACCGCCGCTGTGCAATATCCTTGTGGCGATCTACGTTATGCAACCTAGTTTGCGCAATCGACGTTATGCGATGTATGCGGTGCGAGATGGATGCGGCCGAGGTTGTGACGTGCAGGGTATGTTGTGCAAACTACGTGATGCGATCTATGGTGTGCAATCTTTGTCGTGCAACCTACGTGGTGCAATTCACCCTACCAAACTTGAAGTCGTCAACTGCATAGCACGCGCGATCATCCCAACCACCCACTCACCCGCAACGTGGTTTGCAAAACCCACCCAGCGGCGATTGCCATGAGCGCTCGGCGCTAACAACGCATCGCTGAGGCCGCGAACGCACGCGCAGACTCGTGCGTAGAGCGGCCAGCTACTCTGGCGCGATCGGCGCGGCCGCGGTGTCGCTGACCGCTTGTCACTTCTCAGCGCGTCTCGCAGGCCGCGCTGACGCGCGGGCGCTTCAGTGCGAGTCGGTGACCCGGGCGGGCGCGGTATTCTGGCGACGTCGTCAAAGGCAGACACGATGCTGACAATAGCGATGCTGGTGGCGATCATGACAATGCCGACGGCAAGAGCAATGACGGCGCCGATGCTGATCACGCCGACGACGATGATGGCATCCTCGCGTCGCGGGTGAACGTTGTGAACAAATATTTCGACATGCGCGGGCGGCCGACGCGCGCGAGTGGCCCGCACGGTATTCTTTGACGGGAAACGTGCCCCCCTCCCCCCAGCACGCGCGCATGTAATAACAATACCAGGAAGACTCCGAAGGGCCCAGCGCCACTTCGGCAACGAACGCGCAGGCAAACGCTAGCGATGACACAGTGCGGGCTGGCGGAATGAGCGAAGCGATTGCACAAACAACAATGATCAAACTACCGCAGGCTGGAAGCCGCGTCGTTCACTCCAACCCGCCTACACAACACATAAGGAGCACCCGAGCCTGGGGCCCCGATCCCACGGAGTTCATGTGTCCCGTCGGAAGCAAAGAGCAGGCAATGTGAGGGCAACGCCGCTGTCATTGCTAAGTGATCGCTGGATGCCCGCGCGTGATCGAGATTTTGCCGCTGGGTGCTTGATTTCGTCTGGGATCGTGAGCCTGCGCATGTAACCCCTGCAAAACCCCCTGCAACCCCTGCAACCCCGACAAAATACATGTCAAATGATCGCGAGGCGCCCGCGCATGTACCAGTTTTTGCCACACACAGACGGTAAACAGGGATGGTGGGTCTGCGCAGAGCGGACATCTGAAAGCAACGCCGCCGTCACTGTCAAAAACCAGCGAAAAGTGATCATGGGGCACGCTCACATGGTCAAGGTTGTGCTGCCAAAAAAATGTTGCAGTTTGTTTTGGCAAGGACGGTAGGTCTGCACGGAAGATGAAGAAAAAACCGTTGCCCTCGAAGCTGAAACGGCTACTGCGCAAAGCAAAGAGCAAGATAAATAATATATAAGAATAGAAAAGTAGAGAGCACAGATGGGGAGTAACTTCAACACCCCTCCTGACATGAAGCTGGTGACTGTACACTACCAGTGAAACGTTCTATACGCTCCGAATCGTCTCTTTAGTTCAGAACACCCCGCGGGGCTCGCCGCGAGACCGCTCTTACTGTACAACGCTAACATACACGAACTGTTACTTAGATGAGCTCCTTCTCGTTTCGCGCATCATCCGTCTGAGCTGGGAGGTCCTCCTCCCCGTAGCCGCCCAAGCCGTGCGACACCTTCAACGCGCTTGGATGGCGCCCGCCCCCCCCCTTGAATCCCATGCCCCCCATAAAACGTACGATCAAAACCTCCTCGACGTCTTTGGTCCCAAGATCAGCTAAGTTAGTTTCACCGTCTACTTTGTGCATCTGGGTTTTTTCCTGTCCTACCTGGCGCTGCATCCAGAATAGTGCCGCGTCCAATTGTCGCGCCTTCCCGAGACCGATCCGGGAAGCGATCCCCTCGGAAGCTGCGCTGTCTGTCCGCAGACGGATCCGCAGCTCGTCGCCGAAGTCGCGGACCATGGGCCGCATGCCAAGAGAATGGCCCCATCCTTTGACGTTCGCTACAAATTCCGCCTCTCCTGAGGACAGAGCTGGGCTCGTCTATGTCGCAGTCGAACATCGTAGGCAGCGATTGCCGATCGTCACTACCGTGCAACTCACAGACTTCCGGTCTGTTGGGTCTGGCGCCCAATCAAAATCTGCCCATGCGTCAACATGCCCCGCAGGCTCCTGCATCTGGAACTGCTGAACCCACGGCGCACCGCGCGCTTGAGCCGGTTCCAGTGACCCAAGGTGGGCTTGCTCATCCCACGGGCCAGTCGATTTGCAGAAAACTGTAGGTGCGGCAGATCTGCCGCAAGGTACGCTACACGCATAGTACATGACCTGTACAAACTCACAGAGCTATCCGCGAGCGGCTCTTCCGAGTGGTGAGGGACGCGCTTTTCGCCTGGCGTGCCCACTGCTTTGACCCTGCTGCCGGTCAGTCCAAGCTGGTCTACTAGAAGATCCACGTGTCGAGGATCAGGCTGGTAAGCGACTGTCGGCGCACCGTCCTTCGTGCAGAAATCAACCAAACGGTCCAGAATGGTGATGTGCGTGTCGTCACCATCTTCAAAGACAAGCATATCTCGTCTTAAGGATCTGGTGCTTGCCGGTTTCTTCAAACAAGCTGCTCATGTGGTCTACTTCACCTATGCATACGAGATCGTCTCCGTGCCTCCACCCAATTGACAGCTTGTTCTTGTGCCTGTACAAACATGGGTTTGACACGCCAGCGTCGTAGCCAAGGTTGGTAATGATGTCGTTAAAGAAACTGTCCCATTGGTTCGCTGCGTCGCGCGCGCCCTAAATGGCGCGAAGAAGCTTTCCGACCATCCCTGGGGTAGCATCCTCCTCCGGGAGGCGGATGTACATCTCCCGCACACACGGCGCATGGAAATGAGCTCTGCTCACATCCATCACCGACATATTCAGACGAACTGGGGCGCCTCGCACCCGCCTCGCGGCCGTCATGACATGGAACAGATATTTCAAGCTCTCTAGTGGTGGCGTCGCCGCAAACGTGCCTTACATGAATGGGTCTTGCCACTTGCACTCCCTGCCGACCAGCCGGGAGCGAACCTCCAAATTATCATCATCGCATTTGTTGACATCACACCAACGCACAGAAACCGTGTTCTTGCCTTTCGCCTGTGCTGCTGGTACCTTTTCGTGCACAGGAATGGCGCGTGGGAAATCCAACCCGGCGACTCTCGCTTTCCGCGCCAGCGGCGTTGGTAAGAGCTTTCCAGAGACATCGTCGTGAAACTTCGCAAGGTCTTCCTCTTGGTACTCTGCGGGGTCGTGGCCTGTGACCCCCGGCTCGGGGGAGGACGACGACAACTTCACGTCTTCCTGGAGCTGCCGCCGGAGGCCACGCAGCACCGCACTTGCCAGCGCGGGCGTGCACCCCCCCTTCCCTGCAGCCTCGGAACGCGTTCTGTTCCAAAACTTGCACGTCGCAGGCTCCTCGGCGATGCACCTGCTGTTGGCGAGCCAACCGCCCCCTGCGCCACCAGCTCGCGCCCGCCTCCTTTGGTGGCGACGGCTTGCCCCATCCCACGCTCAGTGCTCACCCAGAACGCATCTGGCTGCTCCAACACTTCCTGCGCGCGCGGCTCCTGCAGAGACGCC